GCTTTGCCTTCTGGGTGCTGGCATGTGAGCGCGAGGGCACACACAATTTATGGCACGGGAGCCGAAAAAGGTTAGTCACCACTGTTATAATATTTCCGGGATTGTCTCATGAGACCAAACCTGCCCCATCTGTGCATTCAACCCAATTGCTGATGGTCTCCTCCCCCTATAAGGATAAAAAGATGATACCTCAGAGGTGTATCTTGTGGGTGACAGCTCCCATGCTATAGAATACCTTTCCCCCCTGAGATGGTAGAAGTCCCCATTCTGCTTGTATTCCACAAGATTGTGGGGGGGTCATTTGGTTCCAGTGAACTTTGGACAGGTAGATTGAATCAGGACCCCCATGTGTAATGGGTAACTTTTTTAAAATTGTAGTTTAGGTTAGTATGAGTGTGCATTCTGTGGTGCTTTATAATTTTCTATAGGTAGGTCCTCACTTAGCACCACAGTTGGGACCAGGAATTTGGGCAGTCGCTAAGAAATGTGATCACCGACAGGAAAAATAATGCGACCGCAGGTGAACTTGCAATCTTACTTTGATTACTTTAACATGAAGCAAGATAGTCACTAAGTGAAAAATTACGTGACCATGACTTATGATTTTACTTCTGCCTTCCATTCTGCTTCAGCATTTGACCTGTGTGATTTTTCTTGTTTTGTTTGTTTACACAGATGCCTGCACTTATATATACCCACAAGACATGTTAATTATCCCCTCTTTAGTAACATACACTGACATCACTGCACTTGTTCCCAGTATTGTAAAATGGACACAGAAAAGCTGTCATGACATTTTTCTGAGTGACATTTCAGTGTGGCTTCCATAAACTGGCACTGACAACATTTGGTTTTCATTTTAACACTCTGCATTTACTTAACTGACATTGCAATAAGATGCCTGTGACATGTTGAAGGCTGATACAAAAGAAGTGGGTAACAACATAATTAAAAGCCGCCTCAACCAAGTAAATCCTAATTCTGATCTGTCCCTCAGCATCCTTTCCCCCCTCAAGGAGAAATTCATTATCTGGTAAGGCCTCTGGTGCTACACTTCTACGAGTCTTAAGTACAGTTTCACACCTGGTGTCATCCCAATCCCATCTCTCTCACTAGTTCCATTTTTTATTTGTGAGCCTTATTGTTTGTTTGTATCCCACTTTTATTATTTTTTAAAATAACTCAAGGCAGCAAACATATCCAACACACCTTCCTCCTCCTATTTTCCCCACAGCAACAACCCTGAGAGGTGGGTTAAGCTGAAAGAAAATGACTGGCCCAAAGTTACCCAGTTGGGCTTTTCATAGCTATGACAAGACTTGAACTCGCAGTTTCCTGCTTTCTAGCATGGCGCCTTAACCACCACAGCAAACTGGCTCTCCAGCTTGGTCCAGTGGTTAAGTCACCATTCTATTCGTCAGCTTTGGAATCCTTATTCATCACTGCCACATAGCTTGAGAAAGTGGGAGCGGGGTGATTTAAATTGAGTAGCTCTTGGTAGACAAAATAGATTTCTTTTGTTAGTTCAAGGTCAAAGAGTGTGGCATAGGAAGAAATGGAACTTACTTTGGGATTGGTTCATGTGATGCGAAAAAAGGGGATGGTTTGTAGGTTGGAACATTGTGGGAAGACCGGGAAACTTTTAGTTTTGAAATTCCACAGAGGTGCCAGGTGCTATTCTAATAAAAGTACTTTTGAGATTATGCTTGTCTCGGAGTTACTGATCGGAATGGAGGTTCCCAGGAATGCTGACACTATTCATCTTTGATGCAAACAGATTTTGCCACTCCATGTTTCTTCAAAATATCTAGTGATAAAGACCTTTCTTGCCACAGTTATTAAGTGAGTCTCTGCAGTGATAAGTTAGTGACGCAGTTGTTAAATGAATCTGGCTTCCCCGTTGACTTAGCTTGTCAGAAGGTGGCAAAAGGTGGTCACATGACCCTGGAAGGGACCCTGGGGTCTTCTAGTCCAGCTCCCTTTTCAAGCAGCAGATCCTATACCATTTCAGACAGAGGGCTGTCCAGTTGTTTCTTAAAATCTCCAGTGCTGGAATACCCATGATTTCTGGAGGCAAGTTATTCCACTGATTAATTGTTCCATCCGGAAATTTCTCCTTAGTTCTAGGTTGGTCCACTCCTTCATTAGTTTCTGTCCATTGCTGCTTGTTCTGCCTTCAGGCGCTTTGAAGCTCCTCTTCTTTGTGGCGTTTCTTCTACTCACGAGTCATTTTATGTATTTATTTTAATCACACATCTTAATACAACACAGGACTCTGCAACCATCATAAATATGGGCCAATTGCCAAGTGTCTGAATTTTGACCACGTGTCAATGGGGATGCTGCCGTGGCCTTACGTGTGAAAAATGGTCATGAATCACATTTTTCAGTACCATTGTAAATTTAAAACTGTCACGAAACGAATTGTTGTAAGTCGAGCACTACCAGTATTAAAATCCTTCCGTTTACATGCAGATTCCTGTAAAAATAAAATCTAAGCCTGCAAAATAATTTTGAGATTCTAGTTCCACATTTGCAGGATCTATTTAGCATTGCCAAAAATTATGGTTACTGTACAGTTGACATTCGCATTCACCAGACTTCGTAAACGGCCCTGTGTTTTACCTGATGGTGTCCACAAATTAGACTGCAAGTCCTAAAATTCCCAGCCAAGGCAGCCTTTGAATTCTGAAAAAAACATGGTGCCCGGCATCTGGTGAGGGACGGCTACCCACTATGCTTTTCATTCTGTAGTTGCCATGTCAACTATACAAACAGTTCCCGTAACAGAAGAAGAGTAGCAAGAGCTCCTTATTTTAAGCTCTGATTCAAATGCAGCAGTTATCTGAACAGCTAACACATTGCATAAGGCAAAAGAATAGGACCGGAGGAAACTAAAAATGAAAATAAATCCTTTTTAGGATAAGTTTCCTTTTCTGTCTTCCTGATGTATCTTTTTTAATAGTAATTATTTGCTTGTTCTTACTCAAAATGGAAAGCCTGTAGTCCTTTTTTTAACCTGGGGATCCATTTTTGGCTTAAAGATCACGCCCCCTAAATGAAATGAGTTTTTGCTAACACTTCCTTAATAGGAAGCTATCCATAGTACTTCCATATTGCTATTTATTGCTAGTGAAATGTTTCCCACCAATTTTGGAATTCCCTCTGCATGTTCATCAACATGGTGCACGTGTAAATTTGAAATTTTGCTTTTAGAAAATCAAAGATCAGATTTTATAAAGAGCACATGCCCAAGCAGAGAACTTTATTCAGATATTTTTAAAGACATGAACAAAATGCTTGCCTATTTTCAGGCTTCTTCGGGATATATCATTTGTGCTCCTATGTGTATCTCTCTCTCTCTCTCTCTCTCTCTCTCTCTCTCTCTCTCTCTCTCTCTCTCTCTCTTTCTCTCTCTCCCTCTCCCTCTCTCTCTCCCTCCCTCTCTCTCTCTCTCACTCACTCACTCACTCACTCTGTGTGTGTGTATATTCCCAACCACAGTTTCTTCCATTTATGTAGTTTGCAGTTCACTTAGGTTCTTCGTCATCTTTCTCTAAGTATGCAATTTGTCCCACTTTATTCATTTAGTAGGCATTTAAATACAGTGAACATTTTCACCCATGCTCTTCTTCTCAGTTTTCTACACTGATTTGCTTTGAAGTTCCTCCCCACCCCCCCACCCCCAAAAAAATCCTTGTTTAGGTTCATTTCTTCTCCTTCCAGCAGGTTGGTGTAAGAAGAAGTTTTAAAGACAAGGTAGGGGAGGTGATGAATACTGGGAGACATTGATCCTTTTTCTACAATTTTGCCCTTTTGGTTTTTTTGAAACGGATTACTTACTTGCTTAGTGTCTGGCTGTTGGTGAAGCAGAATTGGAAAGGGACGAACTTTACATAAATCATTTATACTGAACACTTGGTATGCCGGCTACATAAATCAACAACAGTATCTATTACCATTCTCTCCCCCACCCGCTCCTTACCGGTATTATCTTGATGCGGCTGGTCCCAACATTTGGGCAGGCTGAACCCTGCCTTCAGAAGGCTAGCCCTTGGTAATTAATTATGCCGGGCACATAGAGCTTGGCCCTTGCTACGGGGAATAATTGCTCCCAGGCAACAGACAGGGTTTTAACTTCAGTGGCAATAATAAATAGAAAGTCTCAGGTGATGCCACTATTTTAAAGTAATTAATCATCTCCACTCTTCCTTCTCTCCCTCCCCCGCCCTCCGCCACGTGCTCCCTTCCATGTTGATTCCCTCTACCTCCAAGTAGGAAAATTCAGCAATAAATCTTTAATGATATATATGTTTAAAGTGATCTGTTACCTAACCCTTGGGTTTTGTTTTGTTTTTTCCTTGTGCGTACCTTAACATGCCCAAGATTTTTCCTCCACCGCCCAGACTTATTGTAAATCCTGCAAGTTGTGAACTTCGAGGGTACATGAAAGGACTGGTTATGTAGGAAGGTAAAAGCTTAGCCATAGAATCTCTCAAAAGATCGTTAATTTTTTTCTTTTTTTAATGTCATGCTGTACACGTGCTAATAGAGATGCTTAATTAACACCAGTGGGGCTGTCAAGAAGTGCAGCTTTCAAAGATGTTGTGTTACTGCCAGTACAAACTCCGCCTTCTCCGGTACCAGAAAGTGGTGCCTTGTTTTTGGGCTGGCTGCAAAATACATGCACTTCAGCTACAGTACATAAAAAGTTCCCCGCTAGACAAGAATCCCAGCCCTTTGTGAATGTGTGTGCAGTTTCTGCTGCCTTTTTTCTTTTTTTTTTACAAAAAGGAGAATATGCTACACTACGGAGAGTCAGTGATTCTCTAGATATTTCTTGGTAGATCTGACCAGCCGTCATGGCTATTCAGGGTGACAGGGACAGATGTGACAGATCGGTTCTGACACCCTTCCATACCACAAATCAGTGGCTGGAGGTGACTCCTGTCCTTCTGTGATTGTGCTCCCCCCTCACCCCATCCCACTCCCCGCTGCAGGACAGCACAATGATGCACGAATGAACCTTGCCATCGCCCTCACTGCTGCCAGGTATGGGGCTGCCATAGCCAATTACACTGAAGTGGTGCACTTGCTGAAGAAGATGGATCCAGAGAGCGGGAAGAGCCGGGTTTATGGAGCAAGGTGCAGGGATGTTCTAACAGGTATGTCCTTTGGGCTCTCCCTGGCATTTAGGAAGCCCCTTGTCTCCAGGTAGCTCGCTCTGTCAGGTGCCGGGGTGTGGGTGTCTTTCTGTTTTTCAGAGACCCCCTTCCTTTTTATCCTTTCTGGGGCCGGGGTGGCTGTCTGGATTCTCCCTGAAGCCCTTCACCTCAGTAGCTACCCGTACTTTGAATGTAAACGGGAGGAAACACTGCTACCCAGAAAGACATTTTAATTCCGGCTTAAAAGAAACAGGGAAATCCTCCTCCTCCTCCTCCTCCTCAAACTTAAGTGCAAGAAGGTGGGTGAACGGAGAGAGCAGTAAGGGGCTGGAGTTTGTAAATATCGCTTAGCTGACAAAAAAGGCATGTTTCCAAAGTGCAGTGGCATGTCATTACTGCCAATCATCCTTAACTTCTGTCAGGCTTTCATTCAAATCCTAGTGCTTTGGCAAGCTAAGCTGTGCTTTACATCCAAGCCCTTCTGTCAAGCAAAGCTGACGTTCTGAAATGCCGGGTGGTAGTGGTGCGTTTCAGCAACGGTACCATTTAACAAATTTCAGAGTTTTCGAGCATGTCATTAAATAGAGAATGTCGATAAATAAAGCGGAATGATGGGGGCCGAAGAAGTCGGAAAGTGGCTACCATTCTTTCCTGCTTCTTTTCCCTCGTTCTACGAGTCTGAGCTTCAAAATCTTTATAAAGATTGGGGAGCCAGCATACTCTTGGCCTTAAAAGCCATCTCTGTTTCTAATTTCGCTGGAAACTTGAGCTGCTCGGTTCTGTGTGCACGCGTATGAGCTTTGTGTGTGTGTGTGTGTGTGTGTGTGTGTGTGTGTGTACACACTTAACAATAGATTAACTTCGTGGATAAATTAATAATCCAGAGAGTCAGCAAAGCGAAAAACAAATGGAGTATGTGATTGATGCTGTTTTCTTTCACAGGGCAGGAATTTGATGTCAAAGCCAAATGTGTTATCAATGCTACAGGACCTTTCACAGATTCTGTGCGGAAAATGGATGAGCGGGAAGTATCAAACATCTGTCAACCAAGTGCAGGCGTTCATATTGTGATGCCCGGCTATTACAGGTAACATTATTCAAAGCATAAACCATTTGTAACCATCTTAGGATGTGAATCTAATAGAGTCGAGACAGGGGGAATCTAAAGAGATTGTTTTCTGGCTTAAACAATCTATGTTGAATTCAGGCCTTCATTCCTCCCCGCTCTCTCCACCCCACCTGCTGTATGGAAAATTATTTTGAGTGAGTCAAGCATAATCCATCACACTTACTAAGGAAGGGGGGTTATATAGGAGAGTTAACTAGACTTTTAATGGTCGTTCCAAATGCCCCATGTTAAAATATCTACTAGAGGAGACAGCTGGAGCTTTGAAAGACGGGTGGACACCATTCCTTCTACTCCCTCAAAAGCCAGAGTTTTTCAATCTGCATGATTTTGGCAATAAATGTCGTCTTAGAGAATGCTAACTGGACAGTTACTGTAGAGGACTGACTTGACAGATGGGAATATTTTCTCCATGCCACCTTTATTGTCTCAAACAAGTAAGGCTCTAAAAAGTTGTGTTCTCTCACACATTGCGTTCTCTCTACCCTCACATTGGTGAGGTAATTCGAAAAGGGTTATTGGCGGTAAGGAAAGTCCTAGATTATCTTTAGCAAGTCATTGCTAGTTCAGCCTGCGTAGCAAACAGTTAACCAGTTTTACACAGATATTCTAAAAATTACTGCAGCCCTTAGCATTCATACAGTACGTTCAGTTGTACTATATTAATGCTAAATATTACTACTAATAAGGGGTTTTATTCAGATATGCCCTTCTGCTTGTGGCAGGGCAATGTTTCTTCACCATATGTTGGAATACTGAATGAGAAAATGAAAATCCCAAGCGTTCTGCTTGCCGAAGAGGCTGTGCCAAGCCTTAGCCAGGCAGAAGTAGGAGGATTATTGTCCCACTCTTCACTGCCCCTCCTTCCATAAATGATATGTCATGGCTTAACTAACATCACGACCCCCGCTCTTTTTGTATGTGTGTGTGTGTGTCTGTGTGTGTGCAGGATAACTGGGAAACAGTTGAAATACGTTCTAGGTTGATAAATATGCCAAATTCCTTTGAACCTAGGACTTACTAATGTATTGGGAGTTTTTCTGCAGAGCTTCCTGTTTAATGTGACTGGAATAAATCTGCTTTGCCCAAGTGCAGCATCCACTTTATTTTGTCATGTATTCCAGTTTCAGTTCTCATAGAATTCACCTTCTTGGCAAGAGAACTTGCTATAAACCAGTTTATAGATTCAATCATTATAAAAATTCAGAACGGGGAACTGCAGGATTAATAAAGCACGGCTTTTCTTACTCCCGTGGGTCCTTCAGCAACTGCAGCAGCAGCTCCCCCAAAATGAGTTGCCACCGTTCTGTGTAAAAGGGGTGAAAGGACTAGAGGTAGTCCTTAATTTATGACCACAATTGAGCCCAAGATTTCTGTCACCGAGTCAATTGTTAAGTGACTTTTGCTGCATTCTTGCCACGGTTGCTAAGTGAATCACTGCAGTTAAATTAGAACCACGGTTGTCAAGTGAATCTGGGCACCCCATTGACTTTGCTCATCAGAAGGTTGCCAAAGGTGACCTCATGACCCTGGGACCCTGCAACCGTCGTAAATATGAACCCATTGCCAAGTATCTGAATGTTGATCACATGCCCAGTCACATGGGGATGCTTGCAACCGTTGTAAAGTGTGAAAAAATGGTCATAAGTCACTTTTTTCAGAGCTGTTGTAACTTCAAGGGTCACTAAACATAGTTGTAAGTCAAAGACTACCAATATACCATATAAAAAACAAACATGCTGGCCTGCTTTATCAAAAAATGGGCTAGGCGTAGTTAATGCTGGTATTTATCTCCTAGTTTATATAAAAATCAACAGGGTGTCTGTACATAAGTGGGACGTATAGGCTTACTTGTTTATCATAGACAGGTAGTCCTTAACGTACGACCACAATTGAGCCCACGATTTATATTGCTAAGTCAGAAATTTGTTAAGTGGGTTTTGCCCCGTTTTACGGCTTTTCTTGCCACGTTCATTAAATGAATCCCTGCAGTTGTTAAATTAATAATACGTTAAGTGAATTAATAATACGTTAAGTGAATCTGGTTTCCCCATTGACTTTGCTTGTCAAAAGGTGGCAAAAGGGGATCCCATGATCCTGGGATATGGCAATTGACATAAAAATACGAACCAGTTGCCAAGCGTTTGAATTTTGATCACATGACTATGGGGATGCTGCAACGGTCATAAGTATGAAAAAGGGTCATGTCACTTTCTTCGGTGCCAGTGTAACTTCGAACAGTCACTAAGCTGTTGTAAGTCAAGGGCTACCTACACTCACTGTATACCTCCAACTTTGACCTATTCTCGGCATCATTCAATGATTGGGGTTACTTTCTTTCGAAAGCAATCTTCTCCCTAGATATGGCATTCTCAATATTATTGAGTGAAGACTACCGGTTTCATCCTAGAGATGGACTTGATAAACCAAGGAATGTCCCTGTACAATCAATCCATCAATTAAATAAATAAATATATATACAGTGCTGAAATGTAAATGTATGTATTAATTTAGCAGTAGGTTCTTACCTCGGGTGCCAGTCTGAGTCTTTAGAATAGAATAGAATATAATTCTTTATTGGCCAAGTGTGATTGGACACACAAGGAATTTGTCTTGGTGCAAATGCTTTCAGGGTACATAAAAGAAAAGATACATTCGTCAAGAGTCAGGAATCATAAGGTGTAACACTTAATGATAGTCACAGGGTACAATAAGCAATCAAATCATACTAGGAAACAGTCAATATAAATCATAAGGATACAAGCAACAAAGTTACAGTCATACAGTTGCAAGTGGGAGGGGTGGGGTGATAAGGAGAAGATTAATAGTAATTGTAATGCAGACTTTGTTAAATAGTTGGACAGTGTTAAGGGAATTATTTGTTTAGCAGAGTGATGGCATTAAGGAAAAAAATGTCCTTGTGTCTGGTTCTGGTGTGCCGTGCTCTATAGCAGTCGTTTTGAGGGTAAGAGTTGAAACAGTTTATGTCCGGGATGTGAGGGGCCTGTAAATATTTTCACAGCCCTCTTTTTGACTCTTGCAGTATACAGATCATCAATTGAAGGCAGGTTGGTAGTAATTGTGTTTTCTGCAGTCCTAATTATCCTCTGAAATCTGTGTCTGTCCTGTTGGGTTGCAGAACCAAACCAGACAGTTATTTATTAAAGAAAATGCACATCATGTCATTACAGTTACTCCTGTCTTTGGAAAAATACTCTGACATCATCCGGGGGAAATGGTAGTTTTAAAGGCATTTTATGTATAAATGTACCTTTGATTTAATTAATTTAATGTTAATACACTGCAAGCATTTCCCATCGGGTTTTTAAAATTTTACATTCTTCATTAATAGTCCCGGTGTTCTCTCTGCACTCATTAATTTTATTCTTCCAATGCATGTTTTCACTTAAGCAGTGACTGTATGGCTTTGTCTCACCCCAGCGATGCTAGCATGTAATCTCTTAATAATTTTAAATTTCAATCCAGTGGATGTTGCGTTTAAATTGACTGTCATTCTGCCCATCAGAAAATGGGGAGCGGGGGGGAGGAGAACAGGCACTTGATCCAAAGAGGCAATTGCTGCAATCAGAGCCTAAGCTATGCGTTCAGTTCCCTAATCAGTCATTAACTTGAAATGCTAAAAAGAAGTATGGATAACAGAGATACAAAGGATAAGGAGCTAACAGTCCTCCAGATGCTGAACTATTGCTCCTAATAGCCTCAGCCAGCATGGTAGGTAGTAGGGATTGTAGTTCAAAAATACATAGGTGGGCAGTGGTGTTGTACGTCGAGTTCTTTGAGTCCTCTGAAGCAGTGAATAAATGATAAATATTATGTGGTGAATGGTGAATATTATTATTGTCGTCGTCTAGAATTTCATCCATGTTGCATTCTGGAATTAATCTATTTGGCAGCCAAACCCTGGTAGTTATTTGAAATACAGTAAAAGTGAGCAAGGCAGTAAGATATGAAAGTTCAACCCTTCTCTCTGGTTCTACTTTCTTTCGCTAAATTAATGGCAGTCAAAACAAATGCAAATTATTTCCCAGCAGGCTTTTCAAAAATGTCCTCAATCTACAGTTCAGATTCTTTTAAGGCAATTTAGAAACCTCATTTTGAAACTTGTCAAAAGTTTTTTCTTTAAATAGTTTGAGCCTGCATACTAAATTTCTGAGTTTCCTGGCTTCTTTAAATCAATAGTGATTTCATTTTGAAAAGTAATTACTTATCTTCCATAGTTTACCTTGCCCAAGTCCATGTTGACACCTACTTTTTAAGCTGTATCCTTAAAGCTGTATCCAAATGTATCCTTAAGCTATATATAAATATCATCTCAACGACTTAATGTAGAAGTTAGACTTCAAGTATATATAATTGTCATTATCTCTCAGAGGAGCAGCTCATGCATATTTTCTGTTACCCAGACCTATGCAGGAAAAATACAATTATCTATAATAGCAGTGGAATTTCTATTTGGATCTGTGAATAAGAATAATATAATTTTTCTATATTTGTATACTTCTAATATTTTAATCATTTTGTTTATTGGTGTATATATTTATCTATCATGTTTAGGAATGGCCCATCTCCCTCATAGAGGGAGGTATACTCTCTCCCTTGTGTATAATGTGTAGAAGTGATTTTAGTATAACCCGGGTCCCTTCTAGGACTGATGATGTTAGCTAGTTAGGTGATGAAACATCCGCAAGAAAACAACCAAACTCAGAAAACACAAAGGACTCCACAGTATTGCTACTTTAAAAATTGTATTCGTGCCGTCATGGTTGAGTTAATTCTCTACATCTTAGTAGAGCTAGTTCTATGCAGTAAGCAATGGCTATTGAAGGTTATAATCCACGTAACTCAGTATACTCAAATAAATTGTATTAATGCAAGGATCAGGAAGAGAGAGAGAGATACCCAAAGCCATGCAGTGTATCCTCCTAAGTTCTGCCAGCGGAATAAGTATTTTTGCTGAATTTCTAGGGTAGGTGGTCCTTTTAGTTTTAAAACCCCCTTTTCCTTAAGAAGCACGGAGAGAGATATTATCCATTAGCCACCCAAATTATGCCTTTCTCATGGAAATGGAGAACCTTGGGCTTCCATTGTAATGTCTTGTTGAAGGAACACTGTAAGGGAACCTCAGCGTGCATGGAATTAGGCTGCCAGGATGGAGGGCAAGCATGTCCTATTTGCCTTCCATCCTTCTGAGGTCGGTAAAAAGAGGACCCAGATTGTTGAGGGCCGTACGCTGACTCTGTAAACTGCTTAGAGAGGGCTGTAAGGAACTGTGAAGCGGTATATAAGTCTAAATCTTATTGCTATTTCTAGGACGTGCGAACAAAGCTACCTTGCTAATATTTAGGAAAGGAAATGGGGCATAACAACCCTCTTTCTCATTGGTGCAATTATAGCTCATAAGCGTGTGTGTGTGTGTGTGTGTGTGTGTGTGTGTGTGTGTGTTTATGTTCCTTATTTCTGTTAGAAACATTATAGGAATAAACAGCAGGATGCTCCCTTAACCTGCTGATACCTTTCTCAAAACCCTCGGCTGGCCTCTGTTGCAAAGTATTAAAAGAAAATGGAAAACAAGCGATTTGGCCAAGATCAGAACCAGAGTGAAGTAGTTTAGATCATGAATTAATCATTTGATTCCCCATTTGATGCTACTACTAAATACCTCTTTCACAGAAGGCAAACCAATTAATTTCTCACATATAACTGGCCCCAAATGGCGTTCCTTCCAATTAATGTGCACCTTCAATATATATTATTTATACATTTCCGTTCATCTAATTCTCTGAGTATTTTATTTGAGAAAGTGTTCATTTTCCTTAACCTTGTCCCCGGAGCAAAAAAAAATAATAACAGTAAATAATAATAATTATATGGAAAAAAAGAAATCCACTGTTACATCAGTCACGGTTGGAACCCTTGGAGCAATACCTAAAAGACTCCCTTGCCATTTGGAAATTTTAAATTTATCAGACCTGAATACCCTAATGTTATCGGGAAAAGAAAAAAAAAAGCAAAAGCACACCTTGCTTGGAACTGCCTATATCCTTAGGCACTATCTTAATCATTCTTAAGTCCTTAATTAGGACTTGAATTATTAAGTTTCCACCAGTGTTCGATGGCGAATCTAACTGCAGATTACTCATCATCATCATCATATCATCCCTGGTTTTTATCTTAAGGCCTTGTGTGATCAAGAAGGATTTTAATAATCTGGAGAAAGAGAAATTGCCACCCATCTACTATTAAAGCAGAACACGGGTGCTTGCTTGAAATTTTGTCCTTGAGAATTTTGTGAATGTTTGTGTCCTGTGCCATGACACTGAAGTACAGCCTGAAGAGATTCCATGCGTGAACGCATGTGTATGTAGTATCTATGATGTGTCAGCAAGCTCTGAACCTTGAAGAACAATCTGTCTGTGAGCTAGATCCCTGAGTTACAAGTGCTCTTCTGTTTGTGCCACAGGTCTTCTTGTTGCCTTGACTGTCACACTTACACCCAGATTTGCTATAGCTTGGGCATGAAACACCTGTCAACATAATACAGGTAGTCCTTGACTAAGCAACACTTCTTTTAGTGACTGATCAAAGTTACAACGGCACTGAAAAAAATAACTTACGACTGTTTTTCACAGTTAACAACCATTGCAGCCTCCCCATGGTCATGAGCTCAAAATTCAGATGCTTGGCAACTGGTTCATACTTATGATGATTGCAGCATCCTCAAGGTCACATGATCGCTTTTTGCCACCTTCTGACAAGCAGAGTCAATGGGGAAACCAAATTTACTTAACAACCGGGTTACTAACTTATCCGCTGCAGTGTGGCAAGAAATGTCGTAAAATGGGGCAACGCTCACTTAAATTCTCACTTAATGACATAAGCGTTGGGCTCCATTGTGATCGTAAGTCGGGAACTACCCGCATTAGATCCAAATCCATGATTGTAATATTGCCTGTATCAGCGGAGGGATTCAAATAATTTAACAACCGGTTTTCTGCCCTAAGGATTTATTCCAGCAACCAGTTCACCAAACTGCTCAGAAAGTTAACAACCGGTTCTCCCGAATTGGTGCGAACTGGCTGAATCCCACCACTGGCCTGTACTTTTCCTATGTCTCTGGCACACTGTTTGATAAAGTGGTATTCATTGCTATTTTGTTGTAATGAAGCTTTTAAAAAGCAGTGTTTTCCAACAACCTGGGAAGAAAAGAGAGAGAAAAAGTATTTTTTTTTTTTTTGGCTTCTTCTAGCCCTGATAACATGGGACTTCTTGACCCATCTACTAGTGATGGACGAGTGATTTTCTTCCTGCCATGGCAAAAGATGACTATCGCTGGCACTACCGATACTGCAACTGAAGTTACCCATCACCCAATACCTACGGAAGAAGATATCAACTTCATTTTGACAGAAGTGCGCAATTATCTTAGCTGTGATGTTGAAGGTAATTTTCATTGACATTAAAATGTAATTTTATTCTTCTCTTTAAGGCAGAAGTATACATCCTGAGACCACAAGAGCACGTGATCCCTGCCTCCCAAATTTTTTATTATAATTGTAATTTTTGAGGCAACAGACAGGAGAAAAATAGATAACTGAAGTATCATTGTGCTAATTGTGCTTCATTTTACACGTGACTCATTAAAAACATACTTTTAGAAGTTTCTTTGCATCATGAATGCCTCCCTTGTCCTAGAAAACATTATATATTTTGATCCTTCACCTGTGAGGTAAGTTAGTTGTCCTCTCCCCTCCTCCACCCCATGCCAGAGATTTTTTTTGTATAATTCTGTTACAAAACCAGAAAATATTTCAGTACTGTCGTGGGAATGAAATATACCAATTTTCATAATTCACTTTCCTGCCAAATTCTGCAATTACTTCAATGAACTTACAGTAGTACTTCAACAAATCAACAAGGTCAGTAAGTTGGAAAATAAGACTTTCTTTGGAACTCCGCAGTATTAAATGGAGGTGCCTGCTAATAGGTACCAATTATACACACACAAATGCAAACCTCGGCAGCAGTTCTCTTTATGATAGTTCCATAGTATCAATGGAGATACCTTCCTTCACAATTAGAGAGTATTTATGCATTTCTGTGAAGTGTAAACAGCTTTGTTTTATGAATCAACCCTGATTTTTCATATTAAACTCTACAGCACAGCCTGCCACCGCATTGAATAATTGTTGCATGAACTAACTCGGTTTTCTTATATAGCCATTCTATTAAGAGCCAGGATTTGCAGCTTTCTATCATGTCCTTTTTATTCTAAACCAAGATGACACAAGTTGAAGAATCCAGTGTTGCACGTGACTCTCAAAAGCCTTTAATTTTCAACGTGGCAAAATCTAATTTTAATTGAATTAAGATGTAAATTAAGGTTAGTCCCTATTAACTTTTTGAAATGTGGTCCCATCACATTCCTTAAAAAACCACTTACCTTTCACCTGCCATTCTTTCATTTTTTAAAAAAAAATGGCTTTGTTTAAGGAACACAACTTTCTGCTGTGTTCTAAAGTAATTTTTTAAATAAAATACAGTCTTTCTCTTTTACTCTCTGAATGATATAATTGGTAGGAAACAAATTGAACTTTGTCGTTTGTTTATTTAAGTAGAGATGCGCCATGAATAAATTTTCCAGTCATTGTCCATCCAGAAGGAGATTTGATAACTGGGAGACCTGAACAGATTTCATTACCAAGTTCCTTAATTATCCAGCTTTTTAAAAGTGATTCTCTAAAAAGATTCAGACTCTGACCTGCCCTTTGTAGATTTATACACATATTCATAATCCCCCTTTAAAAATAAATAAATAAATAAAAAAGACTGAACATTCTAGATTGCTTGTTTGTTCTTCCTTGAAATGGACAATTGATAGTTCTGTTATTGTTGTAGCCATTAAAGGAAAATGGTCTACAGGAGGAGGAGGAGGGGGAAAAAAACCCATTATCATTAGGTCCTGCTTGCAAAAATTAATAAAAGAGCTGAGGTTTGTCAGGCAAGGTGGTTGATTCTACTAAGCTACAGCTTGGAGAATTGATTAAGGCAGCATTTGTTTGTTTGTTTGTTTATTTAATTATTTACAAGGCAGTTCTGCAAAAGTAGCCTTCTTGAGCGTTTTAATGCTTTTGAAAGTAACCAACCTGGGCTGTGCACTGTTTTCCTCGTGTGTAATTAGTCGTGTTTATAGATTGTCTGTTAGAGAATTAGCAATTGTGCTGGCCGTATCAACTCACGGCAGACCTGCCTTTTTGCTGCCAAAGACAGTGGCAGGGTTATCAACTTACACAGGCTTGGATGTGTTCCAGCTGTTTAATTATGGTGTCACACATGCTGCTTTTTCTAGTTTCATTAATTTATAAATGTAATATGGTATCTTATTTCAGTGATTAGCACTTCATTTTGGTGGGCTAAACACGTTGGCACACAACATTGATTTCTCAGATTTCTGTTCTTTCGGGATATTTTTACAAGGCATTATTGATTTTTCTGTTAACACCCTTACAAAAGTACTGTCCTTAAAATAATCCTCCCCACATGCACACTCACACACAAAAACCCACGTAAAGAGTTTTTAGTCCACTGAAGGAAGATCACCACAGTAATTTAGACTTCCATATTTTATTTATGGGGAATAGACAACACATGGATGATAGAGAGATAAGAGAGAAATAGCCTTGTGTGTTTATGTATTTGTTTTACCTTTGAAGAATTATGTCATTGCTTATGTGAGGTGAGGGTTAATTCAGGGGTTCCCAACCTCCAATCCATGGACCGGCATTGGGCCGCAGCATGCCAGAAACTGTGCTACATAAACAAGCAAAGCCCCATTCGTGGGTCGCAGGCAACACACAAAACCACGTCCCCTCCAGTCCATGGAAAAAGCTCTACTTATTGAACTGGTCCCTGGTGCCCAAAATGTTGGGGGGCCGCTGAGTTAATTCATTCAATGGATTAGTAACTCAATAGGAAGCAGGGAAAAGAAGATGAATCTGTTTTCACCATGGAATGGAATGTTGTCATGTTCATATTCTCGAGATGTCAATCATAATAGGATCAAGGCATAGTCCTTTTTTAGTATTGTGGTACCGGGCTTCTGTGGACAAGTTTATACCGTTCCACATAAAATTGAAGGGCACGAAACACAGAGATTGATCACATTCTGGGTTGGGACCAAACAAGAACTTGCTTACTGTTGATTGACCTCATGCTCAGCTGGATGGGAGAATTGCTTATGTTTTGAAGATTCTATGTGTTAATCGAAGAGGTCAGTTTTTTGAAAGGAGACAAGAAGAAAAAAAAACCTGGATACTTGCTTTTTATTTGTTATGATAGGGTCTTAGAAAGCGACAGCAGCTGTAGCTACATGTTTCTTTTATTTTTCTTTTGCGTATTCAACTTTTCTTCTTCCTTTTCTTGGTTGTGGAAATCATAGTTTGCCATTGTCTACCCAGAATCGCAAGTGGAGGAGGAAGCACATAAACCTTTTTAAAAAAAAAAAAAAAATCAAGGAATACAAAATTGGTGGCCACAGTCTTAGGGCACTTCGCGTAGTCTCTCCCAAAATTGCAGTAGTTCTTGACCAAACAAGATTTTATTCAATTTGCAATAAAATTTTTGTTTACGTCTCTCCCCCCCCCCCCCCCCCCCCCCTTATTGTGGCCACCAGCTTGCCACTCAAAAGCCATCTATGGACAGACAGCAATAGAAATTGCAGTAACTGCTTTAAAGTGAGCTTAAGGAATCAACCACAGTACGTCTGGGATAGCCTCTAATTTGTGAGTAAGATGAAAGGAGGAGATGAGAGGTCCATAGTCACTCAGTGAATACAACAAAGCAGGGATTTCCTGCCTCCAAGCTCACTTTTTTTAAAAAAATACCTACCTTCATAATTTTTTCCAACATTCAAGCAGCTTCAAGCAGAACTGGGGGAAAAAAAACCTTATTAATATCTTACTTTTTTCAGACTTCTTTTTTTTTTTTTTTGCTATCAACTTGGATTTTTTTTTCATAGGACCGAAGGGAAAAATGATGAAAACACAACTAGAGAATTCTATAATACAAACTAAATTTTTAAAAAAACACCAAAATGTATTTTTGGTCCTGGCTCTTTGGATGGGAAATTTGGGTGGGTCCTTGTTTAATATTCTTATGCTTTCTTCTTTAATTTGGATGGTATATTTCTTTCTCTATCCTAAGCAAAATACACTAGTATTTTTTATATTGGTCTGAAATATTACTAGCTAGAAACAACCTACCGGTAGAAGAAGTAAACTAAAGAGAAAAATGATGGATGAGCCTTTCTTTCTTTTTGACTTAGTGACATGTGAAAATAAACTGCTCTAGTGTTATCTCAGTGACCCCTTGAGGTGGTCTACAGGAAGCCAGATAACTTTAGTCCTTTTTAAAAAAAAAATCCAAGGAAGAGAATTTAAAGAGTAAAAACAGCAATTTCAATTTTTTTGACCTCTCTGAACTCCAAAGTGTGCCTGACAAATTCTGCCTCTTCCCGCAAATAGCTTGCAGAGAGTGATGATAGTACTCTTTCCGGAGGTTTTGGCCAAATAGAATAATGAACAATTCCAGACCAATTCATAAAAATCATCCTATAAATTCCTGGCCAGGCAGATCGTATTTTCCACATAGTAAGAGTTCACTGTTTATTTTTCCCTGGAGGCTAAAATGCTTTGTTTATACATGTTGACAGCAAGTTGTAATCCATTTTCACAAATTCAGAATTTACAGTGGTGTTTTTTTCCCTAAGTTAGCAACTATTAACTTGCTCCATGCAACATATTTAGTTCTTTGAATTATTTAAATACAAATTGTGGAAAAGCTTTTGAGATATTGACTTAGAAGGTCCTGATAATAGTGATCTTGTATAGCTAATACTTGTCTCAAACAATGAGGATATAAACTCAAAACAATAAAGGGGATTCTCAAAGTCTGAATTAGCTAGAAGATCCTAAATATTAAAATGTGTCAAGAACCATATGTAAATGTAACGTCCAAATCTTCATTGATAGAGCTATGTGGATGTGAAGTTTGGCATAAGTAAGCTGTATTACTAAATAGTAAAGGAAAGCTAAATATATAATTAATTGCTTGGCCAGGGTTGAGCCAAGGTTGAATCATACAAAAACGCCTGCTGTAAAAAAATTGTGAAAAATCTTATTAAGAATCCCAATATTGAGGTTGCCAGATTTTGAGATTTAGGACATCATGGTTTTTGCTTTTCTTGGGTCAGACTTCAAGTTACCTCACTGGCACTTCTTTTTTTCCTCAGAAAACTTGTTTCTCAGCTTTATTACCAAACTCTCATATTTTTGTCTCCCTTTTAAGTATTTGTTTAATTGAATCAAAAGATGGAATTGTATTGAATTTGTATCTCTCTCTCACGTTGCCTTTTCTCATTAAAATTTTGTGGAACTGACACTATTGTTTCCCCAAGATGACATTTTAAATTTAAAACTTACTAACCAAACCGCATTTAAATCATATATTATTTTGAAATCCTTTCCTGAGATGATATTTCTGACAAGACTTCTTTTTTTCTCTCTCCTTATTTTGCTATCTACTACAGTGAGGAGAGGAGATGTTCTGGCAGCATGGAGTGGGATTCGTCCCCTTGTGACAGATCCCAATTCTAAAGACACGCAGTCCATATCTCGAAATCACGTTGTGCATGTTAGTGACAGCGGCCTTGTGACTATTGCAGGTACTAGGGTGTTATTTTTAATTTTTTTCTTTCTTTCTTTCTTTCTTTCTTTCTTTCTTTCTTTCTTTCTTTCTTTCTTTCTTTCTTTCTTTCTTTCTTTCTTTCTTTCTTTCTTTCTTTCTTTCTTTCTTGTTAAAATTATTTCTTAGTGATATGAAGGGAGCTGGTCAGATACATATGCTGAGGTTCTCAGTTCTGAAACACTAGAAGAAGAGTTGGAAAACTGATGCCTTCTAAATAACATGGATGACAGATCTCATCAGTAAGGGTAGTGTTGTGTTAGGGTTGCAGGTGTCTGTCTTCCTGTACAATAGAAACAGTTTATTCGAAGACCTTTTTCTTTAAAATTTTAGTCTGTGTGTTTTTAAATAGAGGCTTAAGGGATCAATTTTGGTACACTATCTATATTTGTTGATACTCCCAGGTGGGAAGTGGACAACCTATCGCTCAATGGCCCAGGATACCATTGATGCTGCAGTAAAATCTCATAACCTTCAGGCCAGTCCCTGTAAAACTGTAGGGCTGCTCCTGCAGGGTGCAGAGGGCTGGAGCCCTACGCTTTATATCCGCCTGGTTCAAGATTATGGACTCGAAAATGAGGTGAGTTTGTTGTTCATTCAGGTTAGTAGAACCACTTAAATCTACGGAATTCTAGGCTGAAGGGTATGAATGGAATGGAACTTTGTGGTCTTGCTTGTTTGCCTGTGAAGGCTCTCTCTGAAGTTCCATCTTCTTGAATAGTATGGAGTAGAGCACGGGTGTCAAACTCGCGGTGTCACATTGCCATCACGCGATGTATCGTGACATTTTTCCCCTTTGCGGAGCTGGGGTAGGAGTGGCCTGTGTGTGACACATCCAGCCTGCAGACCACCAGTTTGACACCTCTGGAATAGAGGCAGGGGAATAATTCACCCAAAATGAGTGGAGGTGATTTCTGTAAACATAACTCTGAACTGTGACATAAATGGAGACCATAGAGAGCAAGTTCAATCCTCAAGGTGTGACTCTGTGTGGAAATCCCCTCGACAGCCAGTTGGTGAGTGCTCTGAGGACGGACAGCAAAGCTATCAAAAGAGAAATGGGATAAAAGAGAAAAGGTGATTGAGAAAGGCTATTGTAGAAGGCAAGGAGATGATGAGAGAAACACTGGATGGAAAGATAGTGGCAAAAGATTACCTTAATCAAAATTCTTCATATGTTGCCTTATCAGCTCATTACAGATCTTAGTTCATTAGAAGAAGGGAATTTTTTTTAATGAAAGAGCATCAAATTATCTATAAACCATGTTATTGACCACTTTTTTAAATTTTTAATTATTCGTAGACTGCATGTTTATTATTGTTCTGGACTTGCTGGCTTTTTGCCTTTGATACCATCTTGGGTTGGCTATTGAATCACAGAAAAGGGGAGAGCTTTCAAGGATGACTCCTAAGAAGATGGCGTTCTCTTCCAAAAGACATCAAGTCTCTTTAACCTCTTCTCAATTCCACAGGTGGCTCAACATCTTGCAAATACATTTGGGGACAAGGCTTTTGAAGTGGCAAAACTAGCCCAGGTGACTGGGAAGAGGTGGCCTATCGTTGGGAAACGTCTTGTCTCAGAGTTTCCGTATATCGAATCCGAGGTACGAAACATTTCGTGTTGCTGCTTCTCTTCCTTCCCCTTTCTTGCATTTTTTGGCAGAAGGTAAAAGATTGGAGAAGTTTAGATCTGGGGTCCCCAACCCCCAGGCCACGGCCCAGTATCAGGCTGCAGCCTGTTCAAGGCAAGGCCTCGCAAGCAGCGGGCAAGCGCATGCACACACAAGCTGCTCCACTTGCACGAGTGGCAGGCAGGGTTGTGTGCCTGTAAAACTCCATGCGTGTGCCCACTGCTTGCAAAATGGAGCTGCGCACCTCCACGGCTCATGCAGAATCATTCTCTCTCTCTCTCTCTCCCCTGCCTCTGCGGGCATTGTGCAAAGCTGGAAAGATTGAGGACCGCTGGTTTAGATATTTAGATACGAGGTTAAATCATCTCCTCCGGGTACATCAGCATTGTAATCCAAGAAGATGAATGGGGAGAGAGGCCTCTTGCCACTGGTGAAAAGTTTGGTTAAGTAGCCTGGATAAATAAGTTCTAGAGTAAAAATGGTAGTAAATAATCCCAACATCAGGTTACATTGCATTGCATTTCTTTTGTGTAAATTTCTCAAACCGAAACGGTTATTCTTTTCAAACGTTTTAGATCGAGTACGCCGTTGGTGAATATGCTTGCACTGCAGTGGACATAATTGCTCGTCGCACTCGTTTGGCTTTTCTGAATGTCCAAGCTGCCGATGAAGCCTTACCAAGAATCATTGAGATAATGGGCAAGAAACTGAGATGGAGTGAGCAGAAGAAGAAGGTATTGAAGAGGCTCCTGCTTTCATAGTCTAGAAAGCTTATGACAGGGGTGTCAAACTCTTGACAACGCGTCACATGTTGTATCTCAACTTGTTTCCCCTTTGCTAAACGAAGAGGTGGGAGTGGCCAGCGCGTGACGCATCTGCAAGTTTGACGCCCCTGGCTTACGAGAACCTTTCCAAGAAGTTATTTGACTTTGGTGGAAAATCTGAATAATTTTCACAATATCCGAGGGCTGCATAAGGGTTCACATGTCTGGACCAAGTAAGGGACGGCTCATTTGCAAAAAACAAACAAACAAACCATTCAGCCATAGAGTTCACTGAATGCTGTGGGCTCCATCAAAGGCACTGTCCATATGTATCACTAGTCACCACTGGGGTTGGCGGTTCTTAATGTGAACATTGAAGCCCGATCCACTTCTTCTTACTGTAATGTACAGATCAGATCCTGCTAAGGCATAAGTGACAGATGATGTTCAAAAAGTTACATATGAACTATGCCAATCTCCCTGCTCAGCTCTACCACACAGTCTTGTTTTGAGAAATGGGAGACACAGACACACACACACACACACACACTTTGCAGGAACTCTGTTATCAACACAAACAGCACACATGTATCTATAGAAAAACCAAAGCCCTGCCTTGTGCAGATATGGGAGACCCACACACACACACACTTTGCAGGAACTCTGTTATCAACACAAACAGCACACATGTATCTTTAGAAAAACCAAAGCCCTGCCTTGTGCAGATATGGCTAAAGTAAGGAAATGAGTGCACAAAAGTTACCGGCCAAGTACCAAAGCTCTCCTTCCCCCACACACATGTACACACCTATATTTTTCCCAAACAAACAACCACAAACGTAGCATTGAGGTTTTGTTGAGAAGCCCTTCACAGAGACAGCAATGTGTGTGCTGGTTTCCACATGAGAGAGATAACTGGTGTTGCAAAGTACTATTTTTTTTAAAAAAAAAACCCTTCGTATTTGAAAAGGAGTTCTTGGGTCTTATTCCTGGTCTTTTGAAAATAAAAGATGCAATCTTACCTAGCCTGCATGCTGTGCCGAGGGCTCCTTCGTCACAGCTGGAGAGCTGCTTTGAGTTACAGGTGCCTGTTTTCAAGCGCAGGATTTTGAGCATAAAAGGCAGCGTAAAGCAGACAATGATAAAAGGGAGATGGCCTTCCTCCAAATGACCCTCTCTGCTTACTGAGATCATCGAGGAGGTTCACCTACAGTTGCCATGAGCTCATCTGGCTGTCAGCCAGAATCTAGCCAACTCCTTTGTCGCTCAGGTTTCTTGGAACAGGCTCCCTGCATGGTGAGGGGCCTGAGCTCTTCATTAGTTTTGAGGAAGGCTGTTGCATCATACCGCTTACTGAGTCAAACGGCTGATTTGTAATTCAATTTGTTTTGCTTGTTACATTTTTACTGCTTTTGAAATCATCTTTGAAGTCAGGGGGTCCCTAACCCCTGGGCTGTGGCCTCAGTACCAGGCCACGGCCCATTCAGAACCGTGTCGCGCAAGCGGCAGATAAGCGCGTTTGCACACACAGTGGGCGCTTGTATGCGGAGCTCCACTTACGCAAGCGGGTGCGTGCTCCTGACACTTGCACAAATGCAGTTTCGCGCACGAGGCGTGCACAGAACCACCCCCTCTTCTCCCACTGCCAGCCCACAAAGCCTGAAAGGTTGGAGAGACCCCTCTTAAGTATTGATTCTAATATTTGTTTTATATGTTAACCCTTGGGAGCTTCTAATAGGGGGTGGGGAGGAAAGGAGGGAGGGAGGGAGGAAGGAAAGGAAGGAAGGAGCTTGCCATTTCCAAATTATAGGCTCCATCGTTACCTTGCTGCCTGAAGAGAATAATCAGCATGTGCCATCAGCCTAAACGAACGAAATGCATTAAACCCAGAGACTTCTCACTCAGGGCATCCATTGTGCTAAAACTGAAAGGGCATCTCTCTCAGCCCTTCTGTCTGCAAGTGCAACGTCGCTGTGAGTTGCCTGTATGGATGAAGGGCATGATACATCCCTAAAAAAATTCTTTACCTTGCACGTCTCCCAGGGTAATTATCGCTTGATAATCAACACTTGTACAACCAAACCCAGTGATCTATCTGAAGCATGAAATGCTGCCTAATCTTAATTACCTTGTTCACCTTTAAGCACTTTTTGGTCATCAACTGCTGATATTCCTCTAAGGACCGGCAATTATAATTAAAGTGAAAGGAGCCAATAAAACATTCCGGCAAAGGAGAAATTCAGAATGTAAATATTTGCTGTTACCCTAGAGCTCAGATCGTGTGCTCTCCCCCACTTAGGAAGAGCTCGCAACGGCGAAAAAGTTTCTGTACTATGAAATGGGCTACAAGGCCCGGTCAGAGCAACTGACGGATCGGAGTGAAATCACTTTATCCCCAGGAGATATCGACAGGTAACCGTTACACGGGCCAAATGGCTACTACTTTAATTTTCCAGGGGTTTGGATGTATCATAGGAGGTATCTGAAATAACCTCAGTCCTGCAAGCTGAGTTGTGCTTGATTTGTGTATTTGCCCATATCCTGATCCCCTTTCTCCCCTTTGGTATATTTGAATGATATTATCCCCTCTCTTGAGAAATTCAAACAAAATAGTATTTTTATCCTGGATCAGAAAAAGGTAGAGACCATTAAAACCATTTCTTTATTCATTTGCATCCCTCCTTTATTATTTTTACAAATAACTCAAGGCAGTGAACATATACCTTCCTTCACCTATTTTCCCCACAATTAGGCAGAAAGAGAAAGAGGGAGGGAGAGAGAAAGAGACTGGCCCAAGATGCTTTCCATGGCTAAGATGGTTTCACTCAGATGATTTCCATGGCTAAGGTGGGATTTGAACTCACCGTCTCCCAATTCAAATCTCACCAGGCTCAAGGTTGACTCAGCCTTCCATCTTTCCGAGGTTGGTAAAATGAGGACCCAGATTGTTGGCTGTAATGTGCTGACTCTGTAAACCGCTTAGAGAAAGCTGTAAAGCACTGTGAAGCAGTATATAAGTCTAAGTGCTATTGCTATTTTTAGCCTGCTGCTAAAATTTCTGTTGCTAAGCAAGTTAGTTGTCTAGTGAGTCACATCCGAAGGGCTATAGGCAAAAGACTTTTCCCACCTTTCACTTTAGATTTGTTTAATTTGTCCATGCTAAGATTGGATTTGGCCGTCCTTGGGTTTAGAAGCAAGGAATATATAGCATCCCTTTGGCTTCTGCAGTGGAAAGGAATCGCGTTATAAGAAGGAAGGTTGTTTGCAGGAGTGGAGGTGTGCATGGATCAAGCCAGTTGAGAATCCTTTACCCGTCTTAAGTCAGGTTTTTCTTTGCTGGTTTAAAACTGCTTATGCAGCATGTATAGATTTTTCATGCGTTATCTATGTTGCAGGTATAAAAAAAGATTCCACATGTTTGATAAAGAAGGCAAAGGTTTTATTACTATATTGGATGTGCAGAGTGTGCTAGAGGTAACATTTTACTTCATTATTATTATTTTTTAATTCATTGGAATTTCCTGGCATGATATTAATAGTGTGTTGTTAATCCAGCCATGTCAGTTTTTTTCTCCTTTTCATATATTTTATAGAGCATCAACCTTCAAATTAATGAAAGTGCACTCCATGAGATTTTGAATGAAGTGGATTTGAACAAAAATGGGCAGGTTGAACTCAACGAGTTTTTACAAGTGAGTACTTCTTTTAATTTATACACGTATATCTATATCAATCTAATATAATGGTATTAAAAAACCCTCGCAATACTCATAATATTCACTTCATTAATATTGGAAGTGAAAGTGTACAGGCATTCATTTCTGGCAGATATTATTCAAAAATGAAAATCACACCTTAAACGTTACAAAATGGAAAGTATTTCTTTGATTTGGTTAGGGGAAATCAATCAGTCAAATGAATTGCATTCTGTCATTAGAACACAACACACACCAAATGTATGTCTATTAAATAACATACACCTTTTATGCTGCATCCCATATTAGTTCTGTTAACTTGCACGTATACCAGATATGATGCTATTAGGGCGGGCAGGAGAGAAGTTCCTATGTTTAATCTGAGCTGATTTTATGGTGCGAGGCCTCTGCAGTACCTGCACAGTATTGTCATAGAAGTATGAAAGAGGGAGAAATGCCTCAAATACCAAAATAAAAATGGTAAAATGATTTCAGATCACCACCTGGAAGTCTTAGAGGTAAAGCCAGGAAGGCTTTGAAATCAAGGTTCTTTACTTTTATTATCTTGTCAGACTTTATTAAAAGTTGACCTTGGTCTTGCATTGGGAATCTTGGAAAGATTCCTTATAGCAGTAATTACCGAGAGGAAAGTATAGAATCAGTTGCTCCTGATCCCACTTGTGGATATTATTCATAGTGCTGCTACTCAGGATTGGAATGTTCAGTGGTTATAGCCAGTTCGGGGAGCTTTCCTATAGTATAGCTGTATCTAATGCTAGTATGGCATTGGGCAGAATGTTGCATTTTTGGTTTCCGAGAATATTAATCCACACTTTAAATTTTGAATTGCTCCAGCAATTTCTGCCTTTAAAAAAAAGTAACAATCAATTTTCACCTTCCTTTTCTGACTCTGCTCAACCAGGTTTTTTGTCAGTGTTGTTTTTCACTCCTATTTTTAAATTTATCACCTGTTAAAATGGGTTATAAAACAATAAGCCTGCATAAAAAGTAGCAGTTTAAAAAAAAAACTGTAAAAACAAGAAAAGAGGCACAGCAGCATAAATTCACCTCTAAGTTCTAGGAATAGAAATTAGTCTCCAGATGGTGCCAAAAACTTGGCAAAACTTATTATAACTGTACAATTGGAGAGTTCTCCGAACAGGATGTATATAAATAATTATAGCCTGTATTGAAGTTCTGTCCTGAATTGGAGTGATACCCACAAGCGGGATCATCAGCAATAGGAACAATAATTTACATTTTCTTCTGAGAAAATCCTTTTACTGAGAAGTTTTTTTAAAAAATAAGTCTGTAAACCACTACAGTGTAAGTTGAAGGGAAATTTACCCTGCTAGAGCCAACAATCTCCTCTGTTGAAGAAACACACTTTCTAAATGCAGACAAGCATCTCCCAACCTATTTGGCAGAATTTGAAAGTGTGTAAATGTTGTGCGTGACTATTGATGTTTAAAGGTTTTTTTTAAAATCGAGAATTGAAATTTTGGTCCTCATTGAAAGAGCATCTATGCAATCTAAGAGTGCTCCTTGATCTTCATCCATTGAATTTGTTGCTAGCAAATTGCCTTCGACACCTTTACACAGTGATGTTGAGGGTCCTTCTCCCATGAGCTGTTCAGAGCATCCAGTAGTGGGAGGTGCTTCAGTCTCTGCACGTCTAGGCTGGGCTTAATTTGTGGAATGCTCCTCCTCCTCCACGGGACCCCTCCCCAGCGTTCCCCAGTTTTTGCTCAGCCTCGTTGTGGATAGGCAGTGCTTTTTGTTCTTCCTTGGCTGAAACAGGAGTATTACTCAGCAGGTTTGGATATAGTCCAGTTCGTTTTTTTTAGGCTTTTAGCCTTCAAATCACTTTACGATTTCCTGACGTTAGCTCTCTCTATCTGGTCGTTGGAGATCATTTGCATTTTCAGGCAGTGCTGTTTCACGCCCGAAGTGGCAGGCAGCTTTGGCATTGCTCGAGCTCCCCCCAGTCTGCTTGTTCTACCCCCTGCCATTGTGATTCCGCATTGCCTTTCTCTATATCGGCAATAGCGGCGTGGGCATTTTCGCTCTCATCC